TTGCAGAAATAGATGAGGCTTCTGTAGCAAATAATGACACCATCCAGGAAAATACCAGAGCCCTGGTTCTAAAAACCCCAGGAAACAGCTGAGAAGCCGTGGGAAGAGGATGACATCATGAAAAGGATGGTACCACAGAGTTCCATGAGTGAGGCATCACAAGAGGATGATAAATGCCTTATGTAGAGCTCCTAAGGAGACACTTGAAAAAAAAGCTTTATAAAACTTTGGAAAAGGATAGAAGTATAAGGCTAAGCTACTCACTTGCTTACCACCTTTGAAAGGGAATCAGGGAATTGTAGTTGCTGCCAGTGCTGCTGCCCCTTCCAGCCTTGCCTGGCATTTGTATGTTCAGGATATCACTTCTAAGTGGGATCATTCTGTAACATAAGCTATCCTTAAGACATTGTGCCTAATATATGTACTTAATATAGGGATGTGCTGAGGAAGTGTGCTGAAATTCAGGTTGGGGCAGAAGGTGTAACCCTTCCATTTGTTCCATGTGTATATGGGAGAGGGGAAGGATGACGAAGACTACGATGATGACGACAATGATGATTATGATTGCAATCACAGTATGGAAGTTTGCAGTCAGCCTGTGATATAGAGCGACTAAGCTTCTATGGGGACACAGAAAGCCAGCAACCAGAGCAGCATCTATAAATACTCCTGCTAGTGGCTAAACCCTTACGATTTTACAGAATGTTTACAAACATTATTTCTCTTTGGGGTAAACTGTCATCATAAGGGTGCTGTGGGCAGAAGTTAGTATGTATGTGGTAGCTACTTACTATCCAAATGTGTAAGCACACACTTTCCAAGATGGCAGGTGGTTTATAGCCTGACTTCACTAGAAATCCGACCACTGAGTCCCCAGATTGGACGTCCCACTGGAGCAGCATCATGTCATCATTCCAGAAACCTGCCATGCCTCCATAGCCCAGTAAGAAGCATTTTTGGAGCACTAAGGAAGATGGGGAATCTTTCAAAGCAGTCTTTGAATTAGCCTCACAATCTTACTCCTTTAAACACATGTCTTGTAGGAAAAACGTTTAGAGCCTGAGGGATGAGGAAGAAATGGTGCATGAGAGGGTCATTTCCAAGAGTTTTCTGGATTTATGCATCAGAAGCATGTGACCCTTTCACAATCTGCAGTGGTGCATCAGAAGCATGTGACCCTTTCAACATCTGCAGTGATGCAGTATACAAATATTTTGAGACCCAGAAGCCTTTTCCTAGCCATAGATTGAAAACTTCAGACTGTTTGTATGTGACTTCAGACTGTTTGTATATAATGGTGGCAGAAAGTGGGTTAATTAACCCATGATTGACTGTGGTGCATAGCGGGACCATTCTGTAGTAGTAGTAGTAGTAGTTGTTGTTTTTTAATATTCAGCCCTAGACTGATCCTATTGGAGGTTGCTATGTGAAATCTGAATCTGGACACCTCAGATTAATTGTGGTTTGTATAATTTAATTCAGGATAAATTATTAACCCATGATGAATTAACCAACAATTTGCTGCCATTACATGTGATCCAGGCCTACATAATGGCTATTAAAAATTTGTAAAAATACCTCTGAAATATTGTTTCTGATTCTACTTCATTAAAAACACCAGTGTGGTTTTTGCTGCCTTCCAAAAACCATGCCTATAATAATTTCCAATCTCTTTATACACAAAAGGGTCAAACTGAGGTTTATTGAACATAGTAGTTCTATCTTGCATCAATGTCAATATTTAAAGCTATAATTATAACTCATGAATATCAGAAAATGCATTGTAGTGTTATTCTCTGTCAGGTCATTTGAGCTTACTCATACATCTAATGTTATTAAGGATGTGGGAGATCATTTTTCTGTATTGTGCTTTTTAAAGTTGAAGAAATGTTCATGTTTTATTTGTAATTTTTGGAAAGCTAATCAGGTAGCCCCCGTAATGATAACTTTTAAAAATGCTGGCAGTCTTAGAAAGACATGACACCTTGTGGTACACATGCTTACAATTACTTCTTTGGACTGCAGCTTGTGTAAAATTTATGCCTATGAATGATCGTCCTCTATATAAACCAAGGGAACAGAACTCTAGTAGGCCAGGTGACATCAACAGGCAACCATTTTGGCCTTTTGCATGATGTTTAAAGACAGAGAAGTGATTTTGTTGATGCTTCTCTCAGTACTGGCCAAGTCCCTGGCTTACGCCAGTGTCCCCATGGAGTCACTGCATGAATCAGCTTGGCCAGGGGTGGGAAAAGCAGCTTCCCCTACTGTCCTGCTGTTAATGCCAATCTCAGTTTGGATATAACAGTGGGGATTCCAATGCGGTGTGTGTCCAGATTCGTCCATGGAACAGAGTAAGTCAGCTTGGGGTGTGAGGTGGGCCATCATATTGGATCCTTGGGCTTGAATTATGCACCCCAACATAAACTGTTGGTGAATGGCAATATTTACAGAGAGGAGATAGATCTGTACAAAAGACTGGCTGGAAGTATCTGAATAGTATAACTATACTCTGTTTCATGCTGTCGTGTAGAAAATGACCAAAACAGATTAATTAGGCTTGTTGAAAGACAAGAGAAAACTTGATAAAGTCAGTGTCTGGAAGAGGTTTCATTCTGTTCTAGAGGAGCTGTACTCCTCCTCAAGCAGTTGTGGGCAACTTCAAGTGGTCCAGGGGCCACCCCTGATGCAATCACAGTGCTGGACACTTTGCTCCCAACACCTGATGGCAAAACCAAAGGCCCTTTTGGCATGTTTGAGTCTCCATAGTGGTTTGTATTTCAGGGCAACCCACTGATTGATTGATCAATTGATTTATTTACAATTTACAATATTTATTTACAATATTTTTATCCCGTCCTACACAACCCAATCATCCCAGGACGGCTTACAATATAAATAAGCAATATGTAAACATAAAAATTACAATAACAAAATGTGACTGAGAATATTGATAAAACCAAATTATTGTTTTTTAAACCTTAAAATGTTGGGCAAATAAAAAGGTTTTTTTGCTACTCCCACCAAAGCAGCACTGAGGTGGCAGCAAGAGCCATGCCTGAGGCCATAGGTGCCTACACACCTCCTTCTGGCCACATGTTCCCCATCTTTGTCTTAAAACATGCGGTTCATTGTTTTAGGATGATTATGGTCCAACACGGTCACTGGAGGCACAGGTGGCCTTGGTGAGATGGGCCGCCTTTTACCAGCTTGGACTGATATCCCAGCAATCATACAATTTGGGCAAAGATCATCTAGCTAGAGTTATCTATGATCTGATTATCTATTAACCAGATAACTGGTTAGCTACAGTTATCTGTGATCTCACATTGGGATTACTGCAAAGGCTTAGACATGCGACTGTTCTAGAAAGCTGGTGCAAAACAGGGCAGCAAGACTGTTCACATGGACTGGTTGATATGATCGTATAATGCCAGTACTTTTTGATTTGCATGTGGCTACCAATCTGTTTCTGGACCCAATTCAAAGTGCTGACACTAACACCCTTGGCCCATAAGAGCTTGAGGTTAGGTTACTTGAAGCATTATCTCCTCCCATATATACCTGCCCAGTTCATCCTCAGTGGTCCATCTCCAGCCAGATAAGTTTGGTGGATGCTAAGGAGTGGGCTGCTTCAGTGGTGGCACCCCCAATTGTTAGGTGTTTTTTCCCAGGGGGCTCAGTTGGTGCATACTCTGTGGTCTTTGGCGTGCCTGTGAAGACTTACATTAGTCCTTCAGTTTTAAACTAACTTCATAAGTGAATTTTAAGATTTGGCAGATGACTTTTAACTGGAATGTTACTTTGGCTATATTCTATTTCAGATTATTTTTTAATATTATGTATTACTATTGAATGTGTTTTCTGTTTTTTGTAAACCAAAACAAATTCAGATAATGGACCTTATAGAAATATAATAAAAAATAAATGATTTCATTGTTAGAAATGCAATGATCTTGTTAAAATCTTAGCTAATTCATTATATTTATTTTCTTTCATGTTACTTCTGTATTTCCCAATAGCCAAAGCTTTCTGGGCTGTTCACAGCAATTCATAACACAGCTACTTGTGCAATAATAGAATAAGCAATAAGGTAGAAATACAATAATATAATAAAATTCCAGAATATGCATTATTAACAGTTTAAACAACTAAAGGCACAATCCTAAAATTCAGACAGTAAAACCCCTACAACTCTCAGCATGGCTGGATAGGGGATGCTGGGAAGTTTAGCCCTTTTGTCTGTCTAAACTTGCATTTGGATTGCACCCTGGAACAATTTCAATAAAAATATAGGGTTTTCTAAACAGCTGTATTAACATCAAGAATGCTTTACTATAGAAAATATTCATGTCAAGAAAGGCACTGTTATGGTAAACCCTTCTTCGTCACCATTCCATTATTACTGCTATAATATAAAATGGAATAGGGAAATCACATTCTTCACTCTGCTAGCTCTTGTTTCCAGAAATTCAACTCAATTACATAATCTGTTCAGGGTATCATTCAATCATCATTGCCTTTCCTCTTTAGGAAGCACGTGTTTTTCACTGGTGCTATTATTATCCCTAACCTCGTAAAACATTTATACATCCTTGTAAATCTACATTGTGCTTTATGGAATATAGATAAGGCATGCTTCAAAAGGTTTACCTTGTAAACTGAGTGGTGCTGTCTTCATATAATGTGTTCCATGCCTGCTGGGTAGTGTTACAACACCCACAAGAACAAATGTACCATTTTACCTGATGAAATGTTCAGCACCGTTTGCTGTTGTCAGGATTGTATCATATATTGATGTTACAGAGATAATGCCTTTCACACTGAGCTAATCATTTATATTGAAGAACAAACACTTTAGACAACTCCACCCCCCAAAAAAACCCCCTATAAAATTGTGGTACTGTGTAAAATGTAGAAATATTGTGTGTGTGTGTGCGCGTGCGCGTGCGTGCGTGCGTGTGTGTGTGCGCGTGCGTGTGTGTGTGTGTGTGTGTGTGTGTATTAATCTAGTGTCTTACTGAGCAAAAAACTGCAGTGGGCCAAGGCTTCCCAGCTCACATTATGGCCAAGCATGGATTTTAACTGCCAGGTGGGGGCTCTTACAACTCTACCCAATGCTTATATCATACTGGTCCTTATCTAGTTGTCCTTCAACTTTTCAACAAGTTGTTTAATAGCTAACTCAGCTCAAAGACACCAACTTAAATCCAGAAGACATCAAACTGCAGCTGAAAATGATGAATCATCCATGGTGCTGCTAAAAATGGTGAGTCACCATACATGCTGAGTCATTCTGGTCATAATGTATATGAGTATAAAGTACAGAGATTGGTACCATCACATCATGAGATTCTAAACCTACCTCTACTGCTGCTGGCAAGGCGTAAAGTCATGTACAGATATTCAGATAATATTTTTGATCTATGTGCTGTGACTGTAGGTGTTATGGCTGAGATGGAAATGATTCAGCTTTGGAAGCCATTTTCAACAGCACCTACAGTGAGGGTAACATATTCTGGATTTAAGATGAGATAGTTGGGAGGGGCAAGTGGTAAGAACTTGTTTTGTGAGTATGTGGTTGGAATTTCATTCATTTCTAATTAAAGAATTGAATGGTAGTAGGATTGGGAAATAGTTTCAAACGCTTGTCTGGAACTAATGTCAGTGTGTACCTGTAGAATATCTCACTTAAGGCAGCTGTTTGTGTCACCAATCTATATGTTTGCACATGGGAAATTGAAACCAAGCCATGGAATAAAGAGATAGCACTCAAAAGCTTGGGTAAACTATGGCAAATTTTAAGCAATATCAACTTTATAGAACCTGATCTGTAATGGTGAAAAGAAGAGCAGGATCCTGGTCTCTTCAATGGTGAGCATACTTGGTCCTAGGGCCAGGGAAGCCAAACTGTTGTCCACACCTCCTAGTACACCTTAAAGTATGCAGTGATACCTTCCTGAGGCACCTCCACCTGAGACCACAGATTCTAGGTGGGTAAACCATTTGGTGCCAGGAAGGGTGTCCTTCCTGTCCCAAGTCCATAGACCTACCTGGCAGGTACCAGGAGCCCCCTTTTTGACATAAAGATTTTATAGGTATTGGGCCTACTCTTTCCATGATACAGCTTTTAAAGGTTCTTGACTTGAATTCTAATCCAGAACTGGAAGAGGAAGTAGGGCTGGGATTTGCAACTGAAATACCAAGGCTGATGGACCCAGAGGTAAGCTAGGCCATTACTGAGAACCAGACAATTTCATGTTTGGGGAGGAAGAATTCTGGGGAGCAAACTGATACTTGGGGCTGGACTTATCATTAGTTCAATCATACGGCATCAAATTAAGAGGGTGGATGAATTGACAAACACCACATATTCTAGAGGATTGGCTCCATAAACAGCAGGATCCATCCTGAAGTCAACTCTTTTTAGTTTGGAAGGGAACAAAGGCATTCTGTTTGGAATCAACCTTGAATTATTAAGCCACATTTCCCTAATAGTATCCTTGTGAGGTTTTTTTGGTTATTGACTTTGACAGTGCTCTGCTTTAGTATCACAGGCTGAGTGAGTGGTACCGAAAAAACCCAGCTGTGAAGGGTGGGTGACAGGTCTGGGGTAGAAAGCCTGCCCCTTTCAGCAGCAGCATGCTGGTACTGGAAACATCACCCGGGCAGCAAATGTCAGGATTTCAGACCTGCAAAGAACGAATGTCTGAATCCAAAAGGGAGCATGCAGTCAACCATCCAACAGTTTATTTACAGCAAACACATATTCCTAAATTACAACAGTGCTGAGGGGCACCAGACTTTTAAGACGGACTATGAAGAAACAGAACATACACAGAGTGTTTTATGGAAATGGTGTCATGTACGCATGGCAGGAAGGGGAAAGAGACTTTGAATGGATAATATGCAAGAACAATATAGACACACACAAGGAAAATACAGAAACATCGAGAAATCGTCAGGGAAACATTAGAAAAACATCATGATGCATCAAAATCTTGAGTGAGAGATAAAAAAATAAAACAATCAGAAGTTATAGAACTACTGCTACTCCTGGTTCTACTTAAGATCTTAAAAACAGTCCTATTAATTGCAATCATAGAATCATGTCCCGATTGGCCCTTATACAATAGGGCGATGGTCTTCCATCGAAGCACATAATAGGTTGCACAATTCAGCAATGAACTATGCACTCCTACATGCCAATAGGAGAGAGTTAAGCATATGCCTAACTTCTGCTACAATCAATGGTGCTTAAACATGTTCAAACATTAGCTGGATTGTGCTCAAACATTTTGGATTTAAGGATTTCCTCTGCAAGGTAAACTTGGTAGAAAACTGCATAATGGCTTCTTGGAGAAAAATACTGTTTTCTTAAAGCAGATAGTAGAAAGATTTATGATTTATGCATTCTCCCATATTTGCATTGCATTTGCTGTGGAAGAGAAAAAAAATAGAATATTGAAAGAATTTCATTTTGGGACTTGTAATTAAAAGCAGAAAATACAATAGTTTACACAGTTTGAATAGTGCTAAAGAAATGAGCTGTAGTAATAAATGAAAAGGAAAAATCCTCAACTTTCCAAATGGAAACAGAAAAAGAGAATGTAGACACAGTCACATCGCCCTGTGCTTTTGTCTGTCATCTGGTAGAAACTGCCAGTAAATAATTGTCTAGGTTCCATTCTTTTTGCAAGGCTGTTGCAGCACATGAAATTAGAATAAGCTATGCTGCAAGAGGAAGTACACAAACCAAAGAAACTTTAGGGTCTGACATTTCATCAAAACAAAGAATTCAGTAGAAGAGCATCTTAAAATGTTACCTGCACTTGCAATCGGGAAGATTTTTCTTTGTAGGGGGTCTCTTTTGGATCAATATTGAAAACGACAGATGCCAAACCATGTAAGATTGTGATCATTTCATTTCTAGGAAGGAAATACATGAACAAGAGTTTGGAAGATGCCTTGTCTTGTAGTGATTGATGTAGCATATGGCCTCCGGTGGTAATGGGGCATTGGACTTATTCTTTTCAAAAACAAAGTAGGCACACCAAAGCTGCACAGACTTTATCAGCAAAATATAGCACTGACATATGGGGAGAGCAAGAGAGAAGTAATGTAGATGGACAGATGGACAATTAGCACTGATTGCATTGGTCTGAATGTAAAAGAGTAAATCCAATACACTCTCCCTCAAACAGCAGTTGAATAGCATGAAACAGAACCTTTGCTTGCATAATGTAACAACTAACTGTGTTAACAGCCTAATCCGATGTACAGCTGTATTCAGGGAAAAAAAGCCATTGAGTTAAATAGGTCTAAATCCCAGGTAAGTATAGCTTTGCAGTATATTTTTTTTTACTATTTAATTATCTTGCCTAGAAAAATCTTTAATCTGCAGTTTTGTGCTACTCACTTTTAGATGTGATCAGTTTTGTTGGCATTAATTCTGGCAGGATAAAGCAAGAGTTTTGCTGGCAAAAATTGGTGTCTTCCATTAATAATAATAATAGTAATAATAATAGACAATTGTTGCACACCTGTTTTATAGGTTAATTCGGAAACAACACTGAGCTGTTTAGTTGCATTTGCACTCTGTGATGAAGACAGAGTGCAAATGTAGCAGAGCTCTCTTAAGAAGCTGTGATGAGCAAAACTCACGATTATTAAATCATGTCCAGCAGTGTGTTAAATATGGAAATAAAGCCTTAGATCATGGCAGCCCTCATAGCATTTCCCTGCAAAAAAGTCCAAAATGTAGGCAATGGAGCTGATCCATATTACCAAACCAGTTCCAGGAGTTCATCTAGCTGTATCAAGAACAGCTAGTAGGTCTTAGTTAGCCATTCATGCTCAAGCCACTCCAAAATGCTTCACCTTATATACTGTTGCTGAGAAAATTCATTTTTCTTTATTAGCGTGGCAATTACGGCTATCTTCAGAGGGAAGAGGACGTCCAAGTGGGAGTGGGTCAATATTGTGTACCCAGGCTCCGTTACACACCTTGTCCCAAGCAGCAAGGGATATCTGCCAATAAATGCAGATCCAAGGATATCCATCTGCACCATAATACAAATGAGTGACAGACGAGTTGGCTGGATAAAATCTTTAGTTTAACCATGGGTTCAAATTCTGAATTGTTAGTCTCCTAGCAACACAGAATCCTGACTTCAAATGTCATATGCATCCAGGGATAAGGCATCCATGCATTGTTTATCACAGTGGTAGAGTGTGTGTGTGAGAAGCAGCGTGCACATATGCTCCTGCCACCTTTTCTGCAACAATCCATGGTTTTTTAACCATGGATTGTTGCGATATTCAAATCAGGACTATGTGTAGCTTATTGCCTGTGACCACAACATGCTCAAGACCATTATCTTTAATGCATCCTTCAAGAAAGGATGAACATAAGAAAGCTGATCGTGGTAAAAGATGGTTTATTATCGGGGTCATTTCAGTAGTTAGCATTTCCCAAATAAGAATCAGATTATTTTTTAGCTGCAGTTATTGCTAAACTAGAAAGCTTGGAACATGTGTCACCAGCAAATCAGTCAGTTTAAAAGAAAGCAAAATAAAGCCCTGATAACCTTTAGCCTTGCTTAGGTAAAAGACATATTTTATTTACCCATTCTTCATCTGCAGAACAAACCTAAAGAGGAAGTTCCCTGTGATGGTTGTGTGTGACATTTCATTCTTTTCCCATCCTAAGTCTGGAGACCGTTTTTGGACATTCACATAATTTAGAACATGTGCTTTAACATCTGTTTTTACTTATTGTGCCTTCCCCAAGTGACATTATGCTGGGTGGGAAATGATAGAGCACAGAACTATAAAGACATGGAACTCCTACTCCCTTTGGTTTACATATGGGACTTGTTCTTTCAAGCTCTAGGCTGCATTCTTTTGCTTTTCTTCCTGAATAGCTATGAGAAACTATAAGCTTTAGAAAAGTTTGTCTTTATATCTTGGGGGGCTGGAGTTATAGAATCCACCATCAAGTCTAATGTCCTTTGTGATTTCACTTAAAATAAAATTATGGCTGGGACCTCAATTTTTTTCTGTACATATGCATATTTGCACATCAGTGTGTGCAAACACAAAAGACCCTAAACACAAAGAAAATTCAGAAAGTGTGCCAGTTCATTACTATGAGTATACTGTATATTTGCAACAAAACATCAGGCCAGATGTCAAGGCAGATATCATCTAGCAGTAATTAATGATGTCTTAAGTAACAGAACAAAGTAAAGTGACAGATCTATGTAGATTTCTTAGGATTACTATTACTTCATTGTGATCTAGGCCAATCTCCTATTTAATTAGAGGTATCTTTGAGATTTTAGCTGTATTTGTCTGTTTCCTCATAATGGGACATAAAGCTAAACAAGACTTTAGTATACACAAGGTATCCTATCCCTCTGACATAAATATTTATCATATTAATGTCCCACCTTTTTTCCTTTCAAGGAAATCAAGGTTTACATAATTCTCTTCCTCCTCCTCTCAATGTTATCTTCACAACAGACCTGTGAGTAAGTTATCTTAGTGTCAAAATGACTAGCCCAAAGTCACTCAAAGAGCTTTGTGGCTGAGTGGGGACTAAAGGTTTCACTGTGTAATAGTATCTGCCTTGCATTAGATTTAATCTGGCATAAAAAGCCATTTTCCGTTCTTGGTAACATGTCTAACAGTTTCACTGAAGTTATCATTAATTTCATTTCTATCTTACTCAAAGCTGAATCTCTCTAGATGGTTACATAATGTTTATTCCATCTATTGTAATAGTACATACATTTCAGTCTTGAAATAGCATTTAATATTAAATATTTATATAATGCTTTTCCTAAAGTGTTCAAGGCATTTGAAACATGCTTATTTTGTTAGTCCTGGCAAGAGCAGACCAATATTATTTTCCCTAGTTTGGGAGGAAGGCAGCTGAGCCTAAAAGATAGTGAATTGCCCAAAGCCCATTGGCATTCTATTTAAGCTTTGAGCAACAGACTTCTGGCAGCTTGAAGTCTGCTAGATAGTCTCAATTACTTGGATGAAACACCTTAAATGCACTAGACATAGCCACTATCCATACCTGTATCCATTTCAGCACCCATTTGCCTCCTTTCTGATTCTCCTAACATACTCTAAATACCAGAGCTCTTGATCTATGGTACTTGGCAGAGACAAATTCAGGAGGAAAGCAAAACAGTCTAACGTTTTTATGATATATATTACCTCAGTGCAAATGAGAGCTTCTTAACAACACCAGTAGTACTGCATAGAATTGGAGTTTTTGTGCAGTGGAGGACTTCATAACAGTTTCCCAGATTACTAATAAGACAGGAGGGGGGGGGTCTATCTGCAATTTCTAGCTAAGAGGCCTGATTCTGCAGAAGGAACTCATGCTTGCCTGTAAGACGGTGATATAAAGAATGTAAGTGGTCCTTCCTTACCTCAAATATTTACTTGGCTGAGGCTAATTTCCTATCTTGGATGAATGAAGAGTGTTTCATTTGGATGTTATAAATAATTGAGGCTGAATAAAAGCCTACTTATGCTATAAAAAGACTGTTTATTGTTTCAAATATAGAAGAAATGGAAATGGAAGTTTTGATGAGCCTTTACTGTGTGGTCCCATCACAACTCTCAACATGTTATCTCCAGCGGAAGGTGGGTAGCAGGATTCAGTGGTGGCGCCATGTTGAGAGGAAGGTGGAGATACTAATACAGTGGGGGCATATGCAGGGCCATCTTAACGCATGGGCCTGATGTACACTTGCCTGTGGGCCCCATACTAATCTGTGTATGTTAAACCCTTGGAAAATTGGAAAACTTCCAAAATTAACAGTAGTTGTAGTTGTCGTAGGGGCCCCAGTGCACTGCTTTGCCCAGAGCGCATAATGCTGTTAAGACAGCCCGAGGCATATGGGTGAGATTTTTTGTTTTTAAATAGTGAAACGACAACCAGAAGCACTGAATAGGTTTTTTGTTGCATAATGTGAAACTGATTTAAATATATTATATTTAAAGATGGAAAACGTGTGGATAATCAGGATGTTACACAATGAAAAGTTTCTTTAACTCTGCTAGATAAATAAACCTGGAATCAACTGCATCATGTATTAACTAGATCAGTCTGTTTGGTTCCCAAGGGTAACACTTTAGTGAACACCAGGCAACTACCATGAATTTTACCAAATTTCTTATCTTACCAAAAGGGATTCTCCCTGGAAATTTTGAAACAAGAAAACAGCTGAAAATAGGATTTATGCTCTGATTCTTCCAAGCTGCAATACATGTCTGACAAGGAAACAATGAAAGGAAAGGAAGCAAAGAACATGACTGTATAAGGGAACACTGATTCCCTTTAGCTAAATTTCTTCAAACCAGCCAATAAAGAGCTGGTTCTTTTATTTTTAATTTAATGTTGGTATAGACCACTACTCCTGGAAATCTCATTCACAAAGGGGATCATCCTAGGCCAGTAATTTAATATGATTGCAGATTCCAGTGAGAACTAACACACAAAATCTTATAAAAATGCTTTGGGATTCATAGGTGAGGGCAGCAGCTAGAACTGCCTTTCATGGGCTCTATCTGGTTTTTAGCTATGTCCTTTTCTGGAGGGATCGAACTTTGCTAAGTTTTCCCTAGGAACTTCCGTATTTGTTTACTGAAATGAGTTTTACATGGAGTCACCATGGAGTACAGTTATGAACGTTCGAATTACAAACAACCTGTACTTATGAACAAAATGCCATAAATTGTAAAGTGTGGAAAATCATCAACACCACAGAGAAAGAAAAAATTGAAAGGTTAGAGAGGGAGGCCTCTAAAGCATCACCATAGAAAAGAAGCAAAAGGGTAGAGAAGGAGACCTCCAAAGCAGACTTTCCTGTCCCACCCATCCGGAGAGGGAAATCTCTCTGGTATTTCTTTGCTGAAAAGAGGATGTACTAGTGTGTTTGGCAGGGGGAGGGGGGGTTAGAGATATTTATGGTTTTTTCACTTTCATAGGGGTCTTGTGCCCCTGACCCCTGCAAATGTGGAGAGCTGACTACGTGATCAAAACCCAAATTTAATTTAGAGATGAATTTCCATTTTTTCAGGAATGGAACTCATTTGTAGCCTGGGGACTAGCTATCCATAAATTTAACTTGGTCCTGAATTCTTTTCCTGAATTGTCACTGAGGGTTACCCATTCTGTGCTGGCGTCACTGGCTGTGGATTTGTTTCTAGCTGCAATTCAAGGTGCTAACATTAATCTTTAAAGTCCTAAACAGCATGGACGGGATCCATTAGGAAACAGATCTTCCATAGGAACTGGTTTGGAAAGCTCACTCCGCTCATGAGGCCCATCTCATTGTCTCTCGACTGACAGACACTTGGCTGGTGAAACTGAAAGGGATTTTTAAATTACAGTACCAGATTAGGCAACAACTTCCCCAAATGCTTGTGTGTATCATCCCTGCTTCCTGCAGTAATTTGCTGGCTATCTTTTCAGTGGCCACTTTTTGAGCACAAGACTGTTGAATTATCTGAGTTTTTTCCCCTTCTGTTCTTTTTAGCTTTTATTTTTGCATTTTGCAATTTAAATAATTTTGTTATAGTGCTTTTTTCAAAGTTGTTGAAAGCTGCATTTAGTATTTTCTTAGAATGATGGGATAGACATTTTAGCATAAATAAGTAGAAACTGAATTGATCATATTTGCCCGGAACAACTAACTCACAATTTTTCACAAAATATTTTATCCCATTTATTTATTCCATCTGCAAAATGTTTAAGTTATAAACCCATCACTTACCATTGCACAGATAAGAAAGTCATTACAAATGTCCTTGGTTATATCATAGTGCCTGCAATCTTCAGTCGTCATTATACACAGCATGTTTTTTGCTTATAGCAAATTATGAAGGATCAAGTGAGTTTAACTTTGGTAGCAATAAACTGAACAGCAGTTCAATTACCAATGTAGATCATGGAACCTAGTGGGAACAAACAATCATCAAAAGGAAGTCTGTTGACTGAAGTATATGTGAAATAAAAAAGATCTCTCGTTATTTGTACTTTGATAATATGGGCAGACGTAGAGTACAAAGTTTATTGTGTTTTTTTGAAGAGAATCCAGGATGAGGCATTGGCAGCACTCCAGTGTACAATTAAGCATGCTTAAGTTCTACTGAAATAAAAGGAGCACAATGAGAGTTAAGTGCGCTTAACTGTGTACTGGACTGCAGCCATTTCCCATTCATCTAGGATTGATGAGTTTTGCTTGTGGGGTTCCTGATCATGTGAAAAAGTAAGCAAAGAACTTTTGGGTTTAAAAGCATAAATGAATATGACTCAGGTTAGAAAAATAAATGTGTAAAAAAGCTTTGCAGTGGTTTCTAGCTAGCTGCAAGACAAGTGTGGTTTAAATTGCTTTTGGCAACAGGAAAGCCGCAACTGCTACAAGCTGGTGTTAAAAAGCCAGCATGCATTCCCCGGCTAAGGGGACATCAAAATCCCTCTCTTCCATTATGCGCTGGAAAAACCTGTTAACAGGTACTTTCAGTTTTATTAAGTTGTATTAGCTTCCCTAGTTACATTACTGGCTAATATCAGTAAGCAGTTCCTGGTTCCAGCCCCGCCATGGCAATGAACTTCTTTTCCCAGGTCAGCTAATCAAATTCTAATTGAATTAGCAGTTGCAGGAATCTCACTTCCTCTTACTTTCCAGAAATAACACTGTACTCCAATTGATGTTTATTTGCCCATCATTTTAATAATTAAATTAATAATGTTAGTAAGAATTAACATTTTAGTCATTTTATTCTTTTTAATTTTGAACAATTCTTTTGATTGAATGTTTCAATGTTTATTATTGAGTATTTTAATTGTATTTTATGTGATTACTCAATTGTTGTAAGCCTTCCTGAGGCTATGCAAAGGACAGGTTAGAAATGTTTTAGATGATGATGATCATGATGATGATGTTGCCCTGGGAGACAAAAAAAATGCTCTGGCCCCATTCATTGGCCAAAGGAACAAAAGCGAGCAATGATATTCAAGCAGGAAGATCAGCCAGGGAAGACCAGCTAACTGGAAGCATATTTAAATGCCAACTCCGAATTTTGGCCTTCATTCTGCCTTTGCCCACCTTCCTTTGTTGTGTCTTGTATTTGTTTAGGCCCGATGGCAAGGCTCACCTGCCACTTTGGGAAGCAGTGACTGACTTTGCATGACATGACAACAACCCCTGTGCCAAGGGGGATGAGTGCTGGCACAATGCAGTAGCTACCAGTGCTGGACATTGACACAAAGAGGGTCCAAATCAGCTCCTTCCATTTATTTTCCCTGGACAGCTGTCAAAAGACAAGTTATCAAGGAAAAGCAAAGAAAAATGCAGAAGAGAAAAAGACAAAGAAAAGCAAAGATTGTATCATAAGGAGAAAATCTATACATCCATTATCAACTAATGGAATACCTACTGTAGGACCAAGAAGACGGTCATAAGAGAGTGGAAGCCTTTAGTTCTCCAGAACTTTTAATCAGGCTAGGTAGTATAGAAAGCAAGACAGGGCCAGAACCACAGATGGTATTGTATGTTTAACAATTATGCCCAATGTTGTGACTGTGGGCTCTCACTTAGACTGCGTCTCAAGGAAATTATAGACTGAATTAGTCAGTGCTGGGTGATACAAGTATTGGATTATACTTAGGAAAAAATGGCTGATCTTCATCCAATTTGAAAAAGGAAATAGGTGTATGTCCAAAAGCTCCTTCCCTGTTCCTCAAGAAGAAAATGGACAACTGAATACATGTTTATACAGTTTTATTTACTCTTCCATGCCTGAGTGCCTGTTATTTTTTACTTGTTCCTGGATTGTTTCCATGATCAAGTAGATAGACCTTGTGGTGAAGAACTCTGCTGGAAAATACATGAATTTGATCAGTGCATACTGAAGTATAGGATATATACTTCATTTGCCAGTGGCAGGCAACTATCTCTTTTCTATAGCTCTGTTATTTAACTGATTGCTCACATGCTCTTGGTTATGTTCCTGCTGAACATGCGCTTCTATGCACCTAGTTTCCATGACTTGTGCTGCTCAAACCTTGGCCATGATCCAAAGAAGCTATACGCATGAGTATCGGAGAACCATTCACACAGCTGGTGGTTTCTTTTATGTTTGCCCTGCAGCTGTTTGCACTTCTGAAGAAAGCAAGCCCCTGTAGCAGTATAAATGGCTTCCAAGTAACCTCTGGCATCTCTCCACCACATGTATATACAGTCCTGTTGTATTACCACTGTTACATTGTGTTCTATGGAATCGCACTCCAGTAGGTTAACTCTAGGAGGAAACAGAGTTAACTGCTAGGTATATGTTTAACAGTAAGTTAGGAGTGGAGAACCATCAGTTTGGTATATTGATCTTTAGTGGTAAGATTATAGAAATCATTATTGCTCTTAAGCTAGCTAAATAACCTTGCAGAACATAAGGCCTGTGCATTCACTCCTCTTTGGGGGAATTTGAAATACCTACTGTTCACAGCTTCTCTCGTCACATCTTTGTGGGATGAGCATCTAGAGCTTGCCCAAGCCCATCACAAGTAAAAGGGGAGAGCTGAGATATGGAAGTGAGATGGAGGAGAAAGAGGCAATAGCAATTACCTCCAAAGAAACCTGAAAGATTGGGGGGGGGGGACTGAGAAATGGGGCTGGAAAACAAAGGGGAAGTCATAGCAATGGGGTGCAGGGAAATGAAATGCAATCTCTTGGAAGAGAAATAGGTTACCTGAGAAACATTTGATTCATGAAAGACAGCGAAAAATAAGGATAACATAAACAGGGTCGCCAAGAAATTAGTCTGAAAATGGAGAAGAAAGCACTTATTATGGCAGGGATAGGTTACATGATACACATGGTTACCAATGCACACTTGGGCACCGTTCTTGGTAGCCAAGTTACCCTACCCTCCACTTCAAAAATGTTTTGCTGTGAAAGGGGTTTGTTTTTGCAGAAAACTGAGAGTATAAAGATATTTTCAATGGATTACTTGGTCCTTTGCTAGAACTTTCATGGTAGCCGTGTTGTGGGATGGTAGCCACTTTTTCTAATGGCCAAATGTGTCCACAGTCCCAAGCAGTTTGCCTTCATGATTGGATACAGAAGAGCAGATTACACAATAAAATGCAAAGAAAAGGACAGGTATCAACAGAGGGTGAACTCTGTAGCGCTGCAGAGAAAGAAACTATAAGGCGCAAACAGCAAAAGATAGTTAAATTGAAATAAGCTGTGGCCCTTTTGATTAGTAGCAAGATTGACAGTGGTCTTCTCAAGTGGGCTGACATCATTCCAACAGAGACTTTTTTCTGTGTTTAATACACTGCAAAGCTAAGATGTGATGAGTAAGCAGAACCAGGCAAGAGCAAAACTGCATGCTGAATATTGACTGTTATGAAGACAAATGTCTGAGCAGCTTGAAATACATTCAGGCCTTGTGATATGCATTCATATTTCATATCCACATCTAAACTGTAGTAAAAGATAAACAGGCTACCCAGAAAGAATTCATTCAAGCAAAAATGCAGATACTTCATAAAGTAATTCTTATTAAGAGAGTTTTTAACTTGAATTAATAACATCTCATGAAAATAGCTTCATTTGGCCCAGAAGATCTTAGTCCTGAAACTGCCAGGCTTTCACTTTCTGTCTGAATATTCACATCTGCAAAAATAATAGACTAGGTAGGACAACTGTTGTTCCATGTACATATGTGGTGATGGAGCAAGACCAAGCAATACATAGTAAGTAGCTTGTTAAGACAGAAAGGCTATACAGCAGGGAAGATAAAAATCAACTTTAATTAAGAACTAGGTGAACATTAAATATTCTAGATATAAGCATGTTAGCTGTACAATTAATCTCCAGAATGAATTAAGGCCTTTTCCAGAAGTGTTGAGTTAAAAGTAGTTTCCTGGAAATTAAGAATCAATCTTGCAATATGGTTATTTCCACTGGGCTCAGTCTACCAAACACAGATATTTACTTTCCACTTGATGAAAATGCATCGTTCTAGTATTCTCAGTAACTGTCAAATCTTACTTGAACCTATCAAACATAGGCATTTCATTTTTGTTTTCCACTTTGCTTTTGTGAGGGTGTGGCTTAGCCAATACAGAATGAAGCAAAAAGTAACAAAACTGGAAAGAGAAAGACAAAGTTGCCCATTGAGTATCTTCCTTAAGTCCTACACTTAAGTAGCAATCCAATAAGCAGTTGCCTGGGATTAGAACATATAGAACTTATTTAAACTTATTTCTGAGGATGGCACTATTAACCTATTATCATGTGCGATTATCGTAAGAAGCTATACATTCCTCAGGATATACCTTCTGTAGGTAAAACAAGGAAAATATGTAACTGTGGCCTAGTTTGTAAGTAAACCACAGTTTAACCCATGCTTTGTTCCCTGTGATGAAACAAATAGTAGGTTATTATTACTGTTTCAGTCCCTGGGTTCATTCCCTTCTCCTTTGTTGGTTCCCTCCCTACATTCCAAAATGACTTTACTGCACTGTACTACTGGAGTGGCTGTTTCTTTATGATGTAGGCCTACTGAAACAATCAATGAACTAATGGTTTGGGATTCACACATGACAACCTATGATTTAAACAACTAATAGGCTTGGCTCAGACAACACAGCAAGCCATGGCACTTTTTTTTCCTACCATGGTTGGTCTTTAGAAAGCATAAAAACAATTTGGGTTAGAGTTACAAATAAACCACAGTTTGTTAGTTTAGCTGGCTGCAGCAGCCCTGTAGCACAAGTTAGCATTGTGTGTGAACCTGGCCAGTGGAGAAGCAAAGCATGCTTGTAGGGACAAAGCAGTGTAAATACTACTTAGCTATAAATTGATCTATAAACATTATAACTTAGTGGTCAGATTTGCACTATTATTTGGGAAATTATGGAAAAGTTTGAAAGGAAACTTAATTTAAATCAACCCACCCTGTCTTTTTCTTTTGCCCTCACAAATAAAGGAATAGAGCCCTACCCACTCCAATTGTAAGCCTTTGCCTCTATCTCAAAAATGTTTCAATGGTAAAAGTGCAGCCATTGGAACAGCAATAAAACAATCACTTTCAACTGACAATCTGCAAACATGGTGGTTAGTTGGGGGCATCTGTTCAGGATCAATCTGGACTGCTACATATCACATCAAGCAATATATAAACCATGATTGAAAGGGCAGTATGAGGATCAAAAAAAGTTCATTCCACAAAACACCCACATTTGTTCTTTAATTATAGTACCTTAGAAGGTCTAGAAAACACACACAGGCACCTGAGATGAAGCCGTGAGAAATCAGTTACTTGTACATGAACCAATAACCTCATATAGAAAACTGAGTGATATATGTTGTTTAGGATCTTTTCATTTTGCTCAAACCTATTCACTTCTCATGTTTGACTGCTAGTGTCTTCTTGTTATTTTCCATCCCTTCCACCCCAAATCTTGTGTAGGGCACAGTAGTAGTTAGGACAAATGGGTTCCTAACAACACCCCAGTTTTTTGAGAACTGTGAACACTAAAATATTCAAACAGATCATTTGATTGTAATTCAGGGAGTTAATACAGAGAAAAACCAGTTTTTTATTAATTAGGTTAGGTTAACCACAGTTATTTATTAATCACACAAAACCAGAATTGAAATAGTCATAGCATTTACTGAACAATGATTGTGTGAGGAAGCAAGTTCCGGCAGTAATATAAAGGAATATGTCTGGGATCTTTTCCATTTCATTTTAGGTACAAGAAATACATACAGCCATACATGGTTCTTTCTATTCTGTGCAGGTTTGGATTACTTCCACTCAGCAGTGTTAACTGTCCAATCAAAGCAATTCTCTTCATGGGCTATGGCTCCTGTTTTTGCTTACTGTGCATTTTTGTGAGAGTATCTTTTTTGTTGCTAGGATTCTGGCTGGTATCTCAGCAAGGACAGGATTCTGTTCGGACTCTGATTTTCTTCACCATCCATTTCTGCAAATTGTACTACAGCAATTCATCCAGCATAGTAGTTAGGATTACCAAAGTGATGTGCTGCCACTATGTATATTACTAGCAATCTTATTCCTATGCAACAGGCTTAAAATAAGATTTACATGTTTGTTTCACTTTTACAATTATATGGTGGATAAAAACATCAAGTCTGGGTACTGCCATTTAAAGCCCTTAAAATCAAGTTTCGTTGTCAAATTGCTCTGAATTAACTGACCATTAATAGTTCAAACAAGCAAGCAAGCTTTGGCTTCTATTAATAAGCCTTTTAAATTGACCACTGATTTGAGTGCAGTGTAAAACAAAACAAAACAAGCCAGCCAGAACAACCAAAAGCCAAGCTGTTTTAAAATTGGCAAAGCAGCACTCTCCATTGGGGAAAAGGGATAAACCTTGCTGAAGAGAACCATCTGGCAAACCTACACTCAACTTGAAAGGACTGCCCTTTGGGACTACCAGAGTTAATCTCCACAGATACATATTTGTATTTCTGTGGGAAAGCAACAGGGCCACATGGCTACAAGCTAATGCACATTACTTGGGATTAAAACCCGTTCAGTTCATCAAGACTTCCTTCTGGGTAAGCAAAATTAGAAATTCATAGCAAGGATACAAACCTCTGGACATTACTTAAGACATAATTCCAAGTAATCATACATAGAACTGGGTTACATGGCTGCAATCCAAGGCACGTTTCCTGCAGAGAAAATCGTATTAATGCTGTGGAAGTAACTTCGGGAAAAAATAAGATTTGGAATGACTCGTCACACTACAAACCTCTAGGCATTACTTGGGAATGACTTCCAAACAAACAGGCATAGGATCAGCATGCCAAAAGTCAATAAACTTCAGGATTGAAAAGAACGGTGATAACCAAGCAAAGGTTCACCTCTTTCTGAAAACAACTTAAGAAAATGATACACAGAACACTTCCTCCTCCTTTACTACTCCTTGTTTTCAAAGCGGCTCTCCCCTGCTGATTGGCCAAAACCTTTGTCTTTCAAGATGGAAGCCAGTGAGAGAGCCGTTCCAGCCGCCCAAACTCCACGAACAACGCGTGGCCCGTGTCTGCCCCCGCCGCATTCCCACGACCCTCCCACTCCGTGCCCGAGGCTCCTCCCATCTTTAACTTTTCGTGAGTCATCGCCATCGGCTGCCCCGCCCACTCCCCCATTGATTCCACGTCCCCCCCCCCCGCGCCAGTTTCCTCATGGCCGTGTTGCCCGTGGGAGCCTCTCCACCCCTCTGAAGTGGTTCCGCCTCCTCTCTAGGCCGGAGTCGGGGCTACCGCCGCTGCCGCCCGCGAGGCGGGGCGACGGGCCGGGCGAGCGCGCTGTTGTGTGCCTTGCCGACGCCGCCAGCGCTGGGTCGACTTCCGTCGCGGGTGCCTTCTGAATCGGAACCTCCCTCCCGGCCACCCCGTCAGGGCTCGCCCTGTCCATCCTTGCGCGAGCAGGCGGGAGCTCAGGCGGCGGCAGCTCTTCGTTGTTTTTACCGTGCCCGGGACTGGGAGCCCGGACGCGCCTCCCCATCCGCCCGCCCTCGCTTCGCTCCTGCGCTGGCCGGGAGCATCGGAGGCTCCTCCCCTTCCCTCTTTCTCCCCCTCTCTCCACCGCAGCAGCGCCACCTTCCTACCTTCCTTCCTTCCTCCTCCCGGTTCCTGCTGCCCCCGCGCCCGCGAGACACCTGCACCCTTCCCGCTCCGAGCCCACAGCCAGAGCAGGACAAGGCCCGGAGTCGGCCGCCGTCTCTCCTTTAAGGTAAGAGTCGCCTCAGAGCGGGGCGCGGGGAAGGCACCGGCGGGGATGTGGCGGCAGAGGGCTCCTGAGGAGGAAGCGGAGGAGGAGGAAGGGGGTTCTCATTGAACGGTGCACAATGGAGGTGGGGGTAGAAAAGGTCGGGGAAAAGGGGGATTGGGGCCCTGCCTGTTGGTGGTGAGGCGTGTTGTTGCTTTTGTGAGGAGACGAATGATGGAAGCTCGGGCGCTGCGGGTGACTTAAGGATGTGTTTGCGTGCGTGCGTATGTGTGTGTATTGTGTGTTTTGGAAGGAAGGAAGGTTCGGCTCTGTTCCGTGTCATACAGGCTCCGGATCAGCTTAAGGGTGGGAACAAACGTTACGTGGTTTCGTTGCCCTTAGTCAGTGTGCTGTTGGGTTGTGATGTCTCTCTGTGTGTTTGTCGGTGTACGTATGGTAGAAAGGACTGTGTTGTATGTGCATAATGCATGAGGGTGGATAACACACACACACACGAACGCACACACACTAACGCGGGTGCGCATCTGCCCATCTCCTTGCGGAGGAGGGTTAATGGGCTGGAAGGTAGGGGTGAGGGGAAGACTTGCGGTTTGGCTGCTCCTCCGAGAGAGCCGAAGGGAATTAGTAGCCTAATCTCTTTCCCTAAGACCGACGAGCCTGAACGGACGGGATTTATTAGTGTGATAAGAGGAGTGTGAGTTGTTTCGCGATTTCTACCTCCTCCCTAAGTCTCCTCGATAGCATGGACGCTGTGGATGTCTGATTCTTGTACTTGAAAACAGACTCATTTCCTGTAAAGCCATGTTACTGTTAAGCGTTCTTCATTGCTGTAGATAATTGATTGAAAACAATCCTTAAGAGGTCTCATCCTATAGGCCTATTCCTACGTTTCTGCCCAAAAGATTGCTTTATTCAGGTGTACTCGCTAGAGTGTTGTACAGCCAGTAAGAGTGAGTTACTTACAAATTAATATCATTGAATATTTAGAAATGAGTTTCTTACCTGATTTTCTTTCTAGAAAGTTTGTGAGAATGTGTGCATGCATTTTGTTTTAGCTTTTCATATTGAACATTTTTACTTTAAAGTTTTGTACATATTGTCCAGATTATTTATTGTTCATTATGCCCGAATACCAAACAACTTAAAATACTTCTTCCACTCTCTCCCAGAATGCGGACACTGTGTGTGTATGAGATAGATGTCCAGGTCTTTTAAAGAAGTTTTTTCATGTACATTTGAGTCTTGTAAATGGAAAAACTTGTCATGGAATCTCAGGAAACACCAGGAGCCAAAATAAAACTCTTACAAGACAGGCATAAAACTCTTACAAGACATATTTCAAACTTAGTAATGACTTTTAGTTCTGAATAGTGTTAGGGTCTCTGAAAAGTCATGCTTGAGCAAAACTGCTGAAGCAGTATTTGATCTAATACTGTCAATCTTGGTTCAATATAAAACATTAATTTGTACAACACTTCACTATTTGCAGTAGCATCAAATTCTTGGTCATATTATCTGTACCATATCACTTTATGAAAATTGTCTTCCATGTTTAAAGCAAGACAAATTTTACATGTCTTCCTAGATTATAGGAAATGCTATATGACAAATTCTGAAGCTGGTTTCATCTTTTTAATTGATGCTGTGTAATAACTTATGTTAAACTTTAAATCTTTGCACAGTGTATAGAAACAAAGGTACAGTTTTACATATGATGTGGTGCATGTAAATGAGTCCTAGAATGAAATTGTTGACACAATTTTCCTAAATAACTTCAGGACTATCTTTATTGTAGATATACTATAGTTATTTTGACAAAATAGGCAGTGACAAACCCTTTAATTATAATGCTTGGCAAGTTATGGTATAACAGCATTTAGGCTAATTTTTGGGGGGACTTAGCTTACTGATATTTGCTTCCCTTGTAAGTTCAAGAATGGCCTTGACTATTTTCAAAACTTTGTTTCTGTTAACCAGAATGATGAAAACCCCCGTTGTGTAAATTGAAGTCCACCAGCAAAGTGCGTTGTTTTTCTCTCCTCCTACCTTCAGGTCTTCATGAAGCCCAACTTTTTGGTACTAACTTTGAGATTGTGATGCTGGGGAATGGGAATGGGGACCAGTTTTGTCAGTAGGAACACTTAACTGTATACCACCCAATGATATGTAAAGCTTTGAAGATTTATATAACTTGTACTGAAATGCAGTCCAATGAGGGCATATTAAGCAACATGGTTCCCTTTTGGAAAATGTGTCACTATAAGAAAATCCCTTTTGGGACAGAATGTAGTCATCCCATTATATTCATGTATACTCCAGTTGTGATACAAACATCAGCGGATTATAAAGATATTCCATATATGGTAGTCTGATTTTCTGACTAATACTTTAAAATGCTTGTATCTTGTGGTGTATGATAAAAATCATCCTTGCTTTTAGTCACCAGTAATGGTAGTATTCTATTGTATTTTAAAGCAAGGAAAATTATTTTGTCGAAATGAAGATCTTTATAATAGGCTAATAGTAGACAGGTTCATGCATTGCTAGTTGAATGACATGACAGAAAAAAGCATTTGTATACTATATCAGTAGAAGGTTATATTTGAGAAAACTGCTTGGTATTCAATCTGCTTTGATACAAATTCTGCTTTAAGTGGGTAGCGTAACTTAATGCCATCATAGGTTTTTTTTTTTTTTTGGTAAAAGCATTTAATCAAAATTTGGTGTTTGTCTCACATGTGACACATATGTCATAGCTGAGGGTTTTGTGTAGCTCTCAGTGGACTGAGTTTTGATCTTCCCTGGAAGTTGCGGTTTAGACTGTGATTCTGTACAATAAATCCAATTGAATTCAGTTGGACTTACTTTGAGAAGATATGTATAGAATTGTGCTGTTATTTTTTCCAGGAAGTACTTCTAGTTCCTGTAGTCTTTCCACTTGATTAATTCACATGCATATATGTGGACTGCTTATTTGGTATACATTCTAATCCTTCCACATTTTTAGGAGCAATGTGGCAATTCTGATTTCCAGCAATCCTGTGAGGAAGAATGGGTGGAGATATTGGGCCTTTATGCATGCAATGGTAGCAAAATGTAGCTTATATAATCCACTATTTGCTGTAGTGTGTTCTGGGCACATTTCATGATGATTTTACATTTACATCATCCTGATTGAGGTGATTGGAGGCTGATTTATGGCAAATCTGGACACTAAATGTTAATTGTGGGTTAAACAATGGACAGCTAAGTTCACTACTAATTGTAGTTGGCTAAGTGGTATGGATCTGTTAGTTAAGTACTATGACTTGATTCACATGTAATATTGGCAAATTGTAGGTTAATTAATCCAAGATTTCTTGTGTTCCATTGCATAGCCATTTTGAATAGTCAGCCTTTGAACTGAGCTTGATTTATGAACCTTGCCGCTATAGGTTAACTGCGGTAAAACCATACACAGTTTAGTACTAATTGGCTGCAGATTGTTTGATATACAATTAATCTATTATTTCTGAGTTCAGAGATCAAGTAGCAGTCTCTGATCAGAAGTTGAATATTCAAATGGCCACACCCTAACCCCGACCCTAATCCATGGTTTGCCACCATTACATGTGAACCAGGTCATTGTCAAAGCATATCTATGTTCATAGTTATTTATGGTACAAACATAAATATTAGCTATTCTGGAAAAAAACAATAGGAGGGAGCCTAGGGAATTATACTTCATCACACTTCTAATTATTTTTACAAGATGAAGTCTCGATGTTGAACTGACTGAAAAATTTTACTTACTTCCCTTTTTGTGGTTTATACACAGGACTAACTGACTTGGGACCCAGGTGTCTAGAGACTTACTGTTGTACCAGCTTTCCTATTTACTATGTAATCTGCCTTCTTTGGGTGCTCCATGTTCAGAAGTCGTCTGAAGCCGTCCCGAGGCTTATGCGAATGGGACGGCATACAAAAACTCCAAACAAACAAACAAACAAACAAACAAACAAAGTGAGATGGGTTATGATCAAAGTGGGTATTCTAAGCTGTGGTACCATCTGTGGTATTATTTAGGGGTGAGGTTGTAAGATTTTGTTCATCCTGGCTTTTAGACATGATTGACTATTTTCATATAACTGTTGTGCCTTGCTTGATTGTAATGTAGTGGATTTCTTATTGATATATTTGTGTATGTTTGGAGCTGCCCTGAAATCAAGTTATATAGACTAGTATGTGGTCTTTGGGGAAAAAATATACAAGTGGAGAAACCTCATTCTAGCCAGGATGTAATTACTTAAGTGATTTCTAGCTCTGCATAGTTGCAAGGATGTTGGGTCATTCCATACCTTTTTGCTTTTGATGTGTT